CAAGGATCCGATCGCAGTGTGCACCGCTGGACCTCAACCGCAAGGATCCGATCGCAGTGTGCACCGCTGGACCTCAACCAGATAGTTTGCCAGATAAAATCCACAAACACACAATCACAAACACACGACCACAAACGCGCAACCACAAACACACAACCACAAACACAATCACAAACTCACAATCACAAACACAATCACAAACACACAACTACAAACACAACTACAAAGACACAATCACAAACACATAACCACAAACACAAAACCACAAACACACAACCACAACCACACAACCACAAACACACAATCACAAACACAATCACAAACACGCAACTACAAACACAATCACAAACACACAACCACAAACATACACACAACACACAACCACACACACAAACACACAACCACAAACATACAACCACAAACACACAGCCACAAACACACAAACACACAACCACAAACACACAAACACACAACCACAAACACACAACCACAAACACAACCACAAACACAACCACAAACACACAACCACAACCACAAGTACAAACACACAATCACAAAGACACAACCACAACCACAACTACAAACACATAATCACAAAGACACAACCACAACCACAACTACTAAACACATAATCACAACCACTACCACTACCACAAACACAACCACAAACACATCCACAAACACACAACCACAAACACAACTACAAACACACAATCACAAAGACACAACCACAACCACAACTACAAACACACAATCGCAAAGACACAACCACGACTACAAACACACAATCACAACCACTATCACAACCACTACCACAACCACAAACACACAACCACAAACACACAACCACAACCACAACACAGCACACAACCACAGCACACAACCCGAGGACCCACAAGCAACATCGAGAACTACAATACTAACGACTATGGCAACATGCTCCTCACTATGGCATCAAGACAAATGATTGAAATGTCATGGTGGGGATCACTCGAAGTAAAGTAATTATATGTTTTTGTGTTTTTCGTTTCTCGTGGCACGCGCAGTACATTGTGGACCTTGAAGTGCAGATTTCGTGGCAGGCGCAGTACCTTTGCGGTCCTTGAAGTGCAACTTTTGTGGCAGGCAGCAGGCAGTATACTTTTTGCGGGCCTTGAAGTGCAGATTTCGTAGCAGGTGCAGTACTTTGTGGGCCTTGAAGTGCAAATTTCGTGGCAGGCGCAGTACTTTAACTTTGTGGACCTCGGAGTGCAGAATTCGTGGTAGGCGCAGTACTTTGTGGACCTTGAAGTGCAAATTTTCGTGGTGGCCGCGGTACTTTGTGGACCTTGAAGGGCAAACTTCGTGGCAGGTGCAGCACTTTGTGAAGTTGGAAGTGGAGAGAGAGATAGATAGAGAGAGATAATGAAAGAGAGAGAGAGAGAGAAACAGATAGATAGATAGATAGATGGATAGATAGATAGACAGAAAGGAAGATGGATCGATAGATTGATAGGTAATCACTGTAGATAGACAGGTAGATAGATAGACAGATAGACGGATAGGTATACAATGTAGACAAATCGATAGAACAGTGCGGAAAGAAGCTATGTTGAAAGCTGGGTGAGGTTGAAGTGGCCCTCAGCATCCACCATTGTGGGGCTTTGCAGGTCACGTGTCACTAGACATGTTCATGCGAACTTTTGAAGATAAACAGCTAAAGCCGCCTTGAAAACCCCTTTGTGGCGTTGTCACAGCTAAGCGAAGGTGGGCCTTATCATCCACCCTTGTGGCGCTGTCAAAGAAAATAAGTGGTTTTGGTACTAGTTGTCCCGTTGTCCCGTAGCAATCGTGTAAAAGAAACGAAAGCGGGAGGGGGCGCGAAGGGTCCCGGCCATGAAAACAAAGGCCTTAGTCAGCAACCCGGCACGGCCCGGGCAACCGCCTGTTCTTCAAAAGGGACCGGCACCGGACCGGACCGGCACCTTCATCGGGTGGCGAAAACAAAAAGAAGCCCTCGTCCGACTGCTTCCTTCCTGCCTGCCTTCCTTCCTGAGCCACGAAAGCCACGGCAGCCACACAGAAGCCACGAAAGCTGCGAGATGGATTTGAGACTCTACGTAGGATTACCAACTGCAATTGAGACGGAACCCCTGACTATAGTGTAGAGATCTTCATTTAGACTATTCTAGAGGCTTTGCTTGGTGTATCATTGATCACAGGGTGTAACAAAACTCGTATAATCATCTTACATCTCCAAAACAAATGGGAGAACGGTCCACCACCGGTTATAACCGGAAAAAAGAACCACCAACCGCTCCGCGACGCCAAAAGGTTCCGCGGCGCCTGGCAACGCTCCAACTTCGCAGGGGCCGTGTGGCAGAACTCCGTCCATTCGGCCTCCGTCCGGAACGAAGCGCCGGAGCGGGAGCCGATAGATCCGATAGCACCTGCAGTGCCGAGGTCACTGCAGGAAGTATGGTGCTGGCGCGCACCCACCACCCAAAAATACCAGGTGCTCTTTTTTTGCCGTATTATGGTTGGGTGTAAACAATTCAATAGCACCAGATTTGGGGATTCTGCCTGGAACGGGGACCGGGGACCCTCAAAACAATGGTTCCGTCCTGAAACAAGACCATAGGCACGCTGGCTGGTGAGCAAAGAGACACAGTACGACCACAACCGTCGACCTGGCTGGTGCAACCTTCCCTCAACCCTCGTGATCGCGAAAGAGTTCAACGATGCCATCAACGTTCCAACAAGAATATAGATATTCAAATATTCATTAATATATATATATATTAAATTAATAGAAAGGGTATGTGGATTTCTGGGGAGTATATAGTTCATGACTGTTCATCACTAAGGTTTCTAGATATTAAATGATATTAGCATGAAAGTGATATAGCTACATATCATGACGTTGCAGTTTCTTTGATTTGGTGCCATGGAAACGAGGCCAGAACCGGAACCTAATGTGTAAGTTCTCTCCACGAGAGATAGCCGACGCACAAAAAGAAAGAAACATCGGCTGCTTCCGCCGGCATTGATTTCAACCCTTTTGATAAAACAATGTGGCCATTGAGCGAGGATTAAGGAGTAGCAGGACACGAGAGGCTTCAGCTTGGCGTTGCTTTCTCATGCCTGTTCGCTGCTTGGAGCCTTGCTGCTCGATTTCCCGTCGTGTGGCATCCGCCAGGCGTGTCGTTGCGAAGCGGGCTCAACTAGCAAGATTCGAGGCAAATCACCTTCGCATGTTGCATATTGCAGGGAAACCGGGAACCTATTTAACATTATTTAATCTAATGTTAACATCCCAGTAATAAAGCATTTGACAATAGTAATGAGCTTCTTTGCCTGCCAGAATTTTACAATACTAGTTTGAATTGCGCAAACAGCCAGATATCAAAATGCTTTCAGAGTGCCTCTCTTTTTCAAACACCTCAGGCCTCATTATATGATATGATCCAATAATATGTAGACAAAAAATATATATATATATATTGTATGTAGTTCAACTATAGCATGGTAAAGTAATTAAGCACCAGCGCGTGAATGGCTACAAACTCACCCAGGAGATCATTTGTGACACGAACCGCACCATGTTTCATGAACATCCGGCCAAACACATCCAATCAAAGAAACACCTTCCTGTCTGGACCAACTACTTCCAGGCCTCCTGCTTCCGCAAGGCTTCTGCTTTGGCCTTGGCCTGGTGGGACTGCACTTGCCCCGAGATGGGCTCTGAGATGGGCCCTCAACTGCGATCACCAAAATACATGCAGCAGTTCAACAGGGGTGCTTCATGGAGGAGATTGGGAGGCCCCTGTCGTCCACTGTCCTCGGAGTCTCCTGAGCCCTTGAAAGGTCCGGTCGAAGGCTCATCCCGCGGCAGGTGGCGCATCGTGCCACTGCGGTATGCCACAACCACCAGTGCAGTGCCCTCTGACTTTCAAGAATGTTTGAAGCTCCCACATCACTGAAGCTCACCAGACCGGATCGGTCTGGACCCGCGATTCTTGCCCGCCTCCGCCTCCTTCTTGCTGGACCCTTCCACCTTGGCCTGACAGCATGTTGCACAAACACCCGGTGGCAGATTGAAAACCAGGTCTGTGGTTGTGGCCAATGGCATTAAGCGCTCATTCACAAAAGTAGTATGCTTCCTTGGATTTTACAGTATTTTGTGGTTTTGGTCGTGGATGTTGCAGTTAAAGTTGCATTTCCAAGGAGATTCAACGGAGGTACAGAAAAATGATCCGTGTGCATGCACTTCCACCCAGCGCTGGTTGTTGAAGAAATGGCCACACCTGAAGAAGTTTGCATCTTGGTGGGTTTCGCAAACAAGATTTCTTTTGGGTTGGAGGCCATTGCTGTTAGGTTGGAGGCCATCGCTATTAGGTTGGAGGCCGTTGCTATTATGCTGATCACTTCATATTGATGAGATCCTGGTGGAGTGGATTTGCTGGAGTCATGAGCGCCTCGGGGGCTTGTTGTGTCGATGAAAGATCTCAGGCACACTTCTGTGACAATTGACTATACTAATACTACAGTAGTGGTCATGGAAGAGTGTTGTTCAAGTCACAAGTCGTAGCCTTATCTTGAGGATGATGTCCTTCAGGAAATTAAAAAATGAGTAATGGACAAAATCAATGGGTGTAGGAACCTCTTGGGGATGGTCATGGGAGATAGCCCCCCTTGTCCTTTCTAAAGAAACCAGGGCGGCAGATCTGCCCAATCCTCCATACAAATTAGCAGTATCAAGTGAAAAGGCAAAGAATGGAGCTTCCACTCAATTCGCTTTGTTTCAGGTCTAGTCAGTCATCCCAGATCGACGCAGGCCCAACACCCCCCGAAACCGTTTTCATGACACCGTGGTGGCGTGGCGACGACGACTGTGTGGAATATATCACCATGCTGTCACACGAATCAGGCTGTTGCAAGATAGTTGATTAGAAAACCAGTACTGGTGATGGTTTGTTTTTCCATCAGTTCTGGTGTTATGATCAGGCTGTGGAATAGACAGTTGATGAAACAAATGGTTTGAAGGAACGTGCCCAAAACACTGCATACTCTGTGAACTCCGCAGGCCCCTGGGGAGAGGTGTGGAAAAAGAAGAAGCCCAAGCCCGGCCGCCCAAGTTGGTCCCAAAAACCAGCGCAAGGGTACATAGACACCTGGTGATCTTGGATTTTCTCAGAGTCTATCCACTTGAACAACAACTACTTGGCTCTTGGGAAGGGGCTGGGCCCTGGCATGAGATGGGCAGATATGGGTGTCTCTTTGAATAACCAGATGTCCGAATCAATGGCTAGACCAGTCCATGTTCCTTCTTTCAGAGGGTCGTTGCCCGCCCAGGAGGCATCCCTCTGTTCATATCCACCCTGGCCATATACGGACACTACATGATCGGCTCGCCAGACCGGTGCTGCTTCACAGCAGCCAAACCCTCCCTCACCTGCCACCCACAAAACACCTCCCACCAGTCCTCCAGCCGCCATCCCTCCCGCATCCCGCACATCCCGCACATCAACCGCCGAACCCGTCCGACGCCGCGCGGCGCGTCCGGCGCTTCCGACGCCCCGCGCGGTCCGCGGCGCGTCGCGCGTCCGGGGCCTCCGCTTCTCGGAGCCGCGCCTTGAGCTGCTCCACCTGGTTCGTGGCGGCGTCACGTCGTGGCCGAGGCGTGACGTCGTCTGTCCGTGGCGTGTGGGGGAGGTGACCGGCCAGTTGAGTCCTCTGTGGTTGGAGTCAGATGAGGAAGACTGATGAGGTTCGACTTGTATATAATGAGATCTTCACTTCTATGCCTCATGAGTCTGGTCCTAGTCTAGTCTAGTCAGTGGTGGTAGAGGTTTGACGTTGAGTGGAGAGGTTGGCGGCACGTGTGCTACTTGTTTGAGAGCTTGGGTTTGCTTGCTTTGCTCAAGATGTGCAGGTCTTACGACCCTTCATCATCCTTCATTCCAAAGAATTCTATGCCCAAAAGGGTATAAAGAACTTCCCAGTTGGGTCACGCCTGCCCCAAGTGCTGCTGATGTTGTGCTTCACACTGCTGTAGCTCAGAGAGGACTTCTGCGCACCTGGGTGAGAAGACGGGCGAAGCCGGGAAGATCGGTGGGAAGCTGGGAAGCTCATTGATCTCGATGTTCAACTCGACGTGTCACCGCTTTTTCACACTATTAGGTGGAGGCCATCGCTACTAACAAGAAGCTACTAGTAGCAAGGGGATTTCACCATATTTCAGCTCTATTTTCCTCATTCTCACCGACATCTTCCTCGTTCACCTTGTGTTCACCTCTATGTTTGTTTCCGTTCTGCCTGCTTCACCGGCCCGTAACTCGCATCACCATGTCACCTGCGAAACGCATCACACCCATCTCACCTGTTTCGCATAATTACCTTTGCCGTCGGACGGACCCTTCTGGTGAAAAGCCCGAAAACCGCTTTGAGCTGCCTAAGGCTGCCGCAAGCGGTTTGATTGCCGAATTTAGTCTGCTCTGCTTACTTGGCTCCTTACTTGGCTCCTGATATCTCCTTAGCATGGCCCCCTTTTCAGAAAGGAGATCAGAAGTGGATTCTCCTGAGATTATGGGACATACACCGGAGAAAACTAACATTTGAGGCAAAAAAACGAAAATTGTGGCATATGTCATATGTTGCTCTAGTTCTGGAGCGGACCCCTTTGACTAACGGTCGACCAAATTCAGAGACGGGCCGTATGGGTATTTGGCATGGTCTATGTTAGCCTCCACCGGGCTATGTTGACCTCTACCGGCGCGGTCTATGTTAGCCTGTGTTCTGTGCATAGTCAGATTGCAGTTGTGTCAGAATCGATCATAGACTGAGAGTGGGAATGGTCCATGTTAGTGAGTGTCCGGAAATTGCAAAAGAACAACTACCAGGAAGTCACCATTTCCACTGGTCCATGTTAAATCGCACTTGAAATTGAGTTCTAGTCTTTTCCCCGGAGTATATTGATAAACACATGCAATATCTGGTGTTGGAACCCAGGTGATAGTGATTCTGGAACAAAAGATCATCCAGGATCCCGTCCTTCACGCCCAAGTGTACGATGTTCCAATCTGGCCAAGACACCCCGAGAACTCGCCCTCCTTCTGATCCACATCAAGGCAGAGCTCCTGGACGTCGCGCGCCAGCAAACCTGCCGAGCACGTGGACGCGCGGCACGTGCTCCGGGCGTCGGATCGCCGCCTTGCTAAGTCGCCGGAAGAAGGGGCGACTCGTTCCGTTCCCGATTCCAAGCACCGGACTGGGATTCCCTCTTACTTTGTACTCTGTCTGCAAGATCTATATAGGAGTGGGATGAAACGGGTAGGGAGCGCCGAGTGGCTTTGTACTTGCGAAGCATTCGAGTGTAGACTTGGTGGTACGAAGAAGGTAAGTTGATTCCATGCTTGTTCAGATTGTCATACAATTATTTGTAATCCTTTCCTTGGGTCTTACATGTTCATCATTGATGCTCGTATTTTGATACACACAAGGCCGCCACCGTGCCACCCTTTTCTTTTTGCAAGCTTCACTACCCTGGCTCTTGAAAATATCTCCCACCAGCTGTTCAGGTGATCATCGCCCCGTCGCTGTCCGCTGTGAAATGTCAAGCTCAAGACCGGATCCCCACCCCAAAACATCTAACATTCATTGGCTTGGAGATATTCCGAATTCTATATATTTATAATTCTTCTCTGTCTGTTAAAGCACTTAGACATACTTAGCATGTAGAAGCTGTATCGACTGATCTTCGAACTGTCGGACGCTGTGGCACCACGTCTCCACCAACCTCCTCCCCCCGTCTGCACCACGTCTCTCATCCCCCCACGGTCTCTCCCGCGCACCGTGCTTGATGCACCGCTGCTGTAATCGCACCTCCATGGCCTACGACCGCGGTGGTGCGCGGACGGTGTGCGTTCCGGTACCGGTACCTGGTGCTGGCCAAACTTCCAGACGGACGGCCCAGTTGGAACGGTTTGGTGTGGTGTCTGTGGTCACCCACGGTAGGAGTCTATCCTATGCCAAAAAAGCACTTGTCCATGTTACCAATGCATCCATAAATGGGTTTAGTTTACTTCAACATGCTTTGGCAATCGAGATTTTGTGATGTTGGAAGACAACGAACAGCTAGCCCCATTTTGGAGCCCAAGATTTTACTGCACCAGGCGTACGCCGTACGCAGCCGAACACAGCACAAAGAGATGTTCGCCTGGAAGCTGGTCCCCACTCATGTCTAGTGGGCTGTGCAGTTGACGAAATATGCCACTCACTTCTCTAACCAGAAGGGTTGTTATAAACACCTCCATTGTTACGGGAAGGGGATGTTGGTTTTGTTGCCTTCCTAAGATCGGTCAGGACTACGGTTTCAGGGGGAATGGAAGCCCCTACACTACTTAGGGATCTCGACCCTTTGTCCTCTGTCGAGATCGATAGAATTGTGGGATCCTTTTCACTCCTCTTCATCCCTTTTTCAAATCGAGTCAAATCTACAGTACCTCCAAATTGAAGGATTTGAGGCTCAGAAATCGAGGGACTCCCAAAAGCTGCCTCAGAAATTACTATAGCTTCTCCTCGTTGTCTCCTTGTCTGGGCGCCCCTCCACGTCCTCATTCGTCGACCCGGCGCGATTGGAGGTCCTCGAAACCTCCCCACAAATCCCAAACGCTCCATGGGACTGCCATCTATGCCGATCAGGCCAGGGGTGGTGGTGCCACGGGGGGGTCAATGGGACGGCATATAGTCCAGTCCCATGGAGTGTATGGGAAATGGTCCTCGGCAGGTCCGAGAGACGCCTCCAGGTCCTCTTTCAAGTTGTCCACCTGGGCGATAGACGAAGCTCGTGGATCTCTGATCGTGTGCGCCCAAAATGTCCGGCCAGTTGGTGGCCACTGAACGCCCAAAAACCAGGTGTTGTATCCATGTGTATCCCTCAAGTTCCAGCAGATCCAAGCAAGTTCAGGTCATCTGGTATCATATCTCCAGCTCATCCCTTGGATGTGACCCACTAGAAAAAGAACAGATCGGTTCTTGCGGGCCTAGACCGCCTAGACCCATCAGTTCTCTTATGAGCACGACTGCAAAACAACATGAAGAAGAACCCCCTCCACACAAGCTGACTGGTGCTTAGTAGGGAATAAGGGAATGAGCCCCCAATAGAGGTTCTATTGGATCCATTCCCTCATTCCCTGCTAAGCACCAGTCAGCAAGGTAGACTGAGCGTCTCACCGCGATGCACGTCGTCCCTTCGCCGGGTTGGTCCGTGCAGTCGGACGTTCCGATGGCCGGGGCGGTTCGGGACTGCCGGGCTGCCGGCTGGATGTATATGGCTGGAGGAAGTCGATGGCCGGGTCCGAGACCGTTCGACGCCGAAAGCACCGGAAAGAAAGAAAAGACTTGCACTTGGGTCCGAAAGGACAAGGACTCCTTAGTTCTGCTTCACACTGACCAAGCGAGAACTGGCCCCCTCAACAACGTGGAGCAACAACTCAGCAAGGCTGGTGAAACCAGCCGAAGTAGCGGTCTTCCGTCATCTCTCTCTCCTGCCTTTTTACGAATTCACTGGAAAAAAGGGCGACGTCACCTTGACTGTCTAAAGTTCATGTCATGTCTCTATCTCTACCTGAAAAAGTCATCGATTCACCTCCCACCCCCCCCGACCCACACGATTCCCGTCGGGGGCGGTGAAACACACACGCCGCCACACGTCCGTTCGAACTCGACCGCCTCGTAGCGGAGGATGTTGCGCCCCTGGGTGAGATCCCGGAGCTTCTGCTTAAAGGCCTGGCCGACGGAGCATCCTCCACCGCCGCTTCGCGGGCGCGTCGCGGCGCGGTTCGGGGCGGTCGCACCGCCGGGTGAATGGTTTCGCAGCTTTGCGGAGTTGCAATCCCAGTTTCAGGGTCAAAGTCGGTCCGATCTGTTCGCCGATACAATGAGGGTGGGGAAATAACTCGATATATTTGTATAAATTGTGCTCTTACAAACCACGCAAGTCCGGCGATATCTGGCTGAAGTACCCCATCTGGCTGCTGTTGAAACCACAAAACGCGCCACCTTAGGTGTATAATGGTGTATATATAGAGTCGCCAGGATCGCAGGCTCATACATCTAGCGCAACACACATGAAGAATGAGTAATTTGAGCGCGGCATGTTGTGGAGGCCCGTGTTTTACCATGATGTCCACTGTCGCGTTACGTCGGACACATGTATGGACTAGATGCCGTAAGCACCACCCCTGGCCTGATCGGCATAGATGGCAGTCCCATGGAGCGTTTGGGAATAACACAAAAACACTTAAAACAGGAAAAAAGCAAAACTATTGGAGAATATGGGACATCTGCCAGTGTGGTCGGCCCAGCAGAATGGTCTGCAGTGGTCTGCTATTGGACATCTGTTTGGATGGGTCAGTCCAGCAGGTGCCTGTTTGGTGCGAAGCAGCTATGACCGGATGGTGCTTCAATCTGGCGATCTGGGAATCAGGTTCAGGTGGGGAGTTCGCACCCACATGGCTCTGGGTCCAATCGAGGGGTACCTTGATTGACCACTAAACAGCATGGCAGGGAAGTCCACCTGTCAGAGGGTTTTGGGGCTACCGGTGCCATGACCCACATGACCCATGTATTCCAATGGTGGCTGCCTGGGCGCCATGCAAGCCGGCGGCCATTCATCAAGTACAGAGAGTTCTAAATGTAGATGACAATGGACATCTGAAAGGTAGTAATAGATTACGTGTAGATTCTATGGTCGCACAAGCTTTTGGCAGTAGATCGGGCCACTCCGGGTAGATTTCATGCTCCAAGAGATCCACTTGCCAGCTTATCAGCTTCTGTTTGTTGATTCCGTTTTGAATTGAGTTTCGGTCTCGATACAAAGTACATACCTTGGGTATTTTCCCATTCCCTGTAACTGACAGTGGATGATGATGGTTCAGTTGCAGGCCTTTCTCTAAAGTAGTGATGTTCTTGTTTCTTACCGACTGTTCCAGGTAATAGGACACCCCCAGTGCATACCTGATAAAGGTCGCACATGTTCCAACATCTTCCACCCTCGCACCCGATCGCACCCGTCTCCTGCAGGTCCTTCTCTCGCACACAGGGGTCCTCACATTCAGAAGTGTTCAACCCCCCTGTCCCAGACGTTAAAAAAACGATTCTGAGGCTCCAGAAACCTCCGAAACCTGTGTTGAGCACGTACCTCCCGTTTACGATTGGGGTTTGCCTCGAAACGGTGACGTCCTCCACATGGGTGGCATCATTCGCGTTGAACAAGCCTTCAACACGTGGAATCTGTTGAAAAGACTATAATTAATAATTAATATATATATATATAGTCTAAAGCCTAGGCTGTGATCCAAGCTAGAACAAAGCTTGTGTGCAAGTGGGTGTGACCTGGGCTGATTGTGATGACCGCTCCGAGCGAGCTTTTCCTCCCCAAGAAGCCGCCAAACTGTGGTGCTGCCCGAATTTGCGAAACATGCAGTCGAAGGGTTTCATACACAAATCAGCAAAAGGACTGGAGTACAGTACAGACTCGTTTTAAGATTCTACATGGCAAGCAATTTAAGAACCAATCCCCTAAAACAAGTCTTATCGATCAATCCAAAACCAATCCCCCAAATTGTTTTAAAGTGTTTACATGTTTTACATTGCAGCAAACACACACCGTTCGCGGTTGTTGAAACTGGAGATGAACCAATCCCCAAGGGAGCTGTGGGCTGAAAGGAGTGCAGGGAGTTCCCTCTCCCGAAGTCCCCAAAACATACGTACAGCAAAGCACGTGGCTGAAGCTCCGAAGCCACGAATCCAAGAGGATGCTTAAGAGAAACTATCAGTCTTTCAGTAAGGGATCTCTCATATGGAATTGAATAAATTGTTGGCAGCTGCACAATACAATTCCCTGAATCATTGAAATTGATTCAATTGATTAGTAACAAGTGCCACGCTAGTAGTAACAAGTGCCTTACTAGTAGTAACATGTAGCAACAAGAAGCACAAACAAGAACTGCTTGACACTTCCGCATCATTGGGATGGTTCTACCACATGTCGGTTTCCAACCAACTCCTCTCTCTTACTTGATTGATGGCGAAACAAAAACATACAAATCCATATACAATACATAGACCAGCTAACCCAAACGACACCATGGGAGTGAACCTCTTTTCCTAACAAACCCAGGCCGTTAAACCTCGCATGGAGTCCAACACAATGAAAGGTCGATCGCAGGAAATTGTCCAACTGCACATCAAAAGAACAACATCGAACCCCGCTCCAGCTGAATTCTGAAGATCGACAGTATACTATGATATACTATGTGAATAATGTATGACATAGTGTATGTCAATATGTATGAATTATACTATGAATTATACTATATGGGTTACAATATGTTACAATGTTACAGTTGTTTAAAACAAACCTTCTGATCCTGCGTTTTGTTTGGTAAATATCCGAACAAATCCCGAATAGGCCCGACTTGGATGCCCTCCAACCCCGGTTGCTCCGCTCCGTAGCGGTGCTCGCCTCGCACAGGGCGCCCGAGACGATGTGCGCACGCTGCGTTTCACCTGGAGACGCGGCGTAAACCGCGGCGTAAACACTTGCGACACCGTGGGGAGCCGAGCCGAAAACCATCCGAAACCCGTTGTTTGAAGTTGGAGCTCTTAGAAAACAACTGGGTTTGAGGTAAGGGTTTCAACCTGAATTCCTGGATGAAACTTGAACCTTCACCACAGCGTTGTTTCGTTGGCAGGTAAGGGAACTTCATGGCTGTTGCATGATGTTGCCATAAGTCGTGGAAACTTGGAAGTGTCTTGCTACGTCCCTGCAAGTGAACCCTCCGAACCGTAAACCCCTCCCACTTGCACGGGCCACATGGTCACACCGGTGTCGCCAAGAGGCACTTCTCTCGCGTCTGTGCCACGCGGTCCAAGGCATTGGCCTCGAACACCGTCTACCGCTTGGGTCGTTCGTCGTCGCGGTCCGGTTTTTTTTTCGGGGTCGACCGAGTCCATCGGATAGTGAAGAGAAGAGAGAGAAAGAGAGAGAGAAGGAACAGAGAGAGAGAGAGAGAGAAGAAAGAGAGAGAGAGAGAGAAGAACAACAGCAGCAGCAGCAGCTGAGAAACTCTGTTTGAATCCAATCACAGCGAAGCTGCATCACCAGTAGAAAAGAAACAAAATAATGGGACGAAGGCGGGCCTTGGACTGGAAAAGCCTTGGACATCCAAAGGATTGTCAGGGCATGCTGCAGGATTGACATCCATATCATCAGGACGGTGCCCTGCAGCACGCCTTCCACTACCATAGGCCAGGGTAGTCGCTCCCAAGCTCAAGCGTGCACCAAGATCTTCACATGGGCTTGGAGCTCTGGGGTCAATCGCTCATCCCCGTGAAGCTCTTTCAAGGTTTCCACAAATGCAACGACTGCATTCAATATGAAAATCAATGCTCTTTCAATCAATGCGTCTCTTGAAACTGTAGTTGAGCTGTACCCTATGTACACAGAGCTGAGCTGGGATAAAGTGAATGCTCTCAAACTCATGTTCACCTCTTCACGGGACACCATGGCCCACACAATAAGGTGCACTGCAAAAAATATAAGCTGAAAGCTCCAAGTTCAGCAGAATTGTTGGGAAGTCCTCTTCGTTCTCAATATGAGTATGGCCCGGCATCCTTTCAACCCAATTCTACACAACACAAGAAAAAACTGGAAAGAAAACATCAAAAAAGGTTGGGACGGTTGGGATATAAAAATGGCGGTGGCATCCTTTCATCCCCTGACAAAGCAACACAATTTTTTGAAAAGTTCTTCGCATCACGGGGTAGAGGGTAATGTTGAAATCACAGCAATGACTACAACGTGACAAATTCAATCCCGAATGCCGAAAGCAAAAAGGGAGAGATGGAGAAGACGAGAAGAGGGGAGGGATGAGAAGGGAGGGAGAAGAGAGGAAGGAAGCGAATGTTTGCCCCTCCCCCTTCTGCATTCCGTGCCAATCAATCTGGAAACAGGTTTGCCTGTGAGGGGTTGCTTCTCCCTCCAAAGGTTGCGTGCGCAGGCCGGGTGATTTTACATTTGTCTCCGGCCTTGCCTTCCTTCCACATTGCAATTGCTTTGGCCACATGATGTTATAATTGTCTCTTTTCTCTTCCTAGCCTTGTGGTTATGTGGGGACATGGGGATGGTAGCTGGAGCTATGTAGGCCACAGTGGAAACCAAATGGAGAGGAAGGAGGCAAATGTTGAGGTCACTGCAATATGGCACTTGCTGCTGAGGTTCAGTGGGGCCCACTGTGATCTCACATTGAGGTCAGTTGGGGTCTGGAAACGCCCATGCGCAGATCTCAGACTTGCTACTATTGATGAACATCTTGGGTGAATTGATGGGCTCTCCGGGCTCTCGCTGTCTCTGAAACTAACCCCAACGTACTGACTGCATTCTGGTCCTACTCTGCAGACTTGCAATTTGCAAAACCGCTGCCCGGAGTGAAGCTGCTAGATCCTGCCCTGCAGCTAAAGCAAATTGAACTCAGGTACCTGAAGCTACCTTTCGTGATCTGCGTTTCAAGGTGCACAAAGTATTGAATTGCGCCTGCGACGAACTCTACACTTCAGTACTGCGCCTGCCACGAAGTCTGCACCTCAATTGTCCACAAACTGCTGGGCTTGCCACGAAATCTGCACTCCAAGGTCCACAAAGTACTACGCCTGCCACGAAATCTGCACCTCAAGGTCCACAAAGCGCTGCGCCTGCCACGAAATCTGGGTGTGTATTAAGATAGGGAGAAGTTTTTAAAGACCCTGGAAGATGGACAAATAGATCAAAAGCCATTGGTTGGGGGTCTTCCGTCTCCATAAAGTACACACTCATCCGCGCTTCAACGTCCATAAAGCATAGTATCGCACCTGCCATGAAATCCACACGTGAAGGTCTGCAAAGTGTTGCTCTGAAGGCCTCAACAGCCTTTCATGCCGAAGACCACCACCATGTCCAAAGTTACGCACCTGCCGCGAGCGAAATTTGCACGTCGACATAAAGCCATTCCATGCCATTCCGATCTCCTGCGCCTGTCATGAAAAAGTCGACCTTAGACCACCAAAGCGCGGGGGTTCCCTTGCGCCTGTCACTAGTGAACACCAAATCAAAAAATGCGCACTGCACCTCCACGAGAGCGCAGTCTCCAAGAGCGCCCGCTCGGGCCCACCAGATTCTGCGCGCTTGCAGAGTCGAAATGCACTTCGAGGCGAATGTACTGTAAATAGCAGCGAATTAGCCAAACGCGCCGATGAGAACCTCGATCAAACACCCGTCCTTAACACCTATACCGTCAGAACCCCTAGTGTTACCACGCTGTTTGGGGAATCAACACCTATTCTGGGCGATGATCGGATCCAAAAGGTCCCGTTTGCCAAACCTGGATGACCCAACCTTGATAGAGATGCATTTTAATTGCGAAGCATGTGTGACGTAGTTGCCTGTTGAAGTACCTTAAAACCTTATGGTTGAAATTTGTTGACAACAAAAGCTGCTTGGTCCTTTCTGCTTGTGCTGCCATCGTAACTTGAAATTTGGCATTATGTTCTTATCCATCAACCAATTTGTGGATTGACAGCACGCGATCGCTTGAATATTACAGTACGTAAGTTCATATATAGAAACTTACTTCCCACCACTTGCTCTTGTACATCGTCACTAGTTCATGGAACTTCATGACAGCCAACCCTTGTTCAGGAAAAAAAACAAGTAACATGTGACTCCCACAGAATGGCCATGCTGCTCTGGACCCATGGCCCGGGCTAGACGCCTGCACACCATGGCGTCTATACGTCTTTCCGCTCCAGACATCGCCCCCTTCGACGCCTGGGAGTTCTCGGAATCCCGCATCAAGACCTCGCGATCGGCCCGATGGCCAACTGAAGGGGGTTTGGCCGAGAATCGGTGCCGAGAATCGGAGAGGCTCCATCGGACTTGGGAATGGTGGCTGGGGTCATGTTGAGTCAGGGGGGTGATGAGTCTGTTCGGAGGGAATTCAGGGTGCAGTGACAATGGACGAAGTTGACCATGTCGAGGACGCCTGTCTGAGGTGGAGGATCATGTTCCATCCTTCTCCTCTGCCTCTGTCGACAACCGATGTTCCCTGCCCTGCATGTCCCGTGGGAGTGACGTCAACTCTCGACCCTCCGAGCATTTGGACAATGCGTTTGTGAGGGAGTTGTTCCACCCCAAACGGGTTTCTTGCCTTGCTTCTGCAATTCACTTCTGAGTCTGTCCAAGGTTCCAGCTTTCAGAAACGGCCATTGAGTCAGTCTCGGCAGTCTTGCCTCGCCCAGAACTGAGAAGAACCCTTGAGGTGGAGGATCCACCATGAATCTCTCCCACTGCCATCCCCCCTTCCATCGACACGCGAGTGAACGTTTCAACGCCTCGAGGATGTGCGCGCGGGAGCCTCGGCCGGACGTGGACGGACGGTCCGGGCGGACATCGGGATCCGGGACCAATGATGAACATCCAGAGGTTGAAGGACCCTAATAGACACTATAAGTCTATAAGGTCACTTAAGCTCTCTGGGTTGATGATTGATGAACATGGATGGTTCGTACACGACATGGGACATGGTGACATGGGGGAAGCATCTTGCACATTGTGCAGCGCTCTGAAAAGGGAGGCCCGATGTTGGGTCCAGTTGGAGTGCGTGGGAGAGATGTGCCCGGGAAATCTTCCCCCTCCCCAAAACAAGGCACCTAAAAAGGGCGGTAGGAGCATACACCAAAAGCCCCGGATTGGCACGTGCACGTGTTTTTACGTGGCCCAAGAAGACCATAGTCGTCTAGAACTGCGTCAGTGACCAACTTCATATATGTCTATCTCTTCAAGCTGGCCTGCGAAACCGTGCGAAACACGTCTAAAGAGCAGCGAGAGTAGCTTCCAATCTCCGACCCTGCTTGGAATTGGGCATCCTTTTTTGTTGGATCCTCCAAGGCGCCCGTGATGGACCAAACGGCGGCGAAAACAAGAGTGAACATGCAGCTGCACTTGTACTACATCATAATTAAAAGCATTGCATCATACACCAGCTGTACTACAAGCTGTTCATGTTTGCTTCCCGAGTACCACCCAATTTCCCCCGAAATCACCCGAAGTTCACGGTGCAAAGGGTTATTCAGATCAAGAAAAGGGATATGGTTCCAAAAAACGAGCCTGGGAGCTCTCTAAGATCTCTAAGAAGATGGACTCAACAAAGAGTACCTCTGCAAACGTCCATTTCCTGGATGAGTGGGGATCTCCAGCCTGTCTATATAGATGGCTTCGAGAAAGGAAGATGGTGATGCATGAATGCTCTTTATGGGTTTTATTGAACGAACTGCATTACGTGCTCAGCAATGTGCGTGGCACCGCCAAATCGCACATGACGCGAGTGTTTTCCCCCGTAGTTTGCTCGTCATGGCATTCTCTGGCTATCTTTGAAAGGGGGCTGAAAACGCGTAGAGTTTGCTCATATTAGGTCAACTGGAAGGCTAGAGGCTTGGGAAGACCACACGCCGCTGGGGTCGCCAGGCCCAAGTCGATCAGTGAACTACTGCCGGCAGCTGCCTCCCGGGGGAACGACCAGCTGACGGTGGCGCACCCCAGCTTGGCGGTTGGAACGGGTCCAGCTGACGGGTCGTTGAAGGCAGGTCACATGTTGAGAACATCTCCACATCTGGCCATGCCCAGACCATCCATGGGACTGTGACATGTGACATACAGGTTATCCGATTGATGACCCCAAATGTAGGTAACTATAGGTAGCTATTCCATACATGCAATGGTCTGGGTTGGCAAGTTGTTTGCGAAATCTCCCTTCGCCGATGTTCCAATCTCGGGCCACCATCTATTGCAATCAATAGCAAAGCCCTTTGGGGCCTCCATGAGCCTCTTTATGTCTTTCTTTGTGGCTTCTTGTTGCCACAGGTCTCCAGTCTCCAGTCAGCTTCCAGCAGTCCCAGCCCTTCGCTCCGCTAGACAGGGGGAGTTCCGGCCTCGGCCGCGCCCACCAAGGCGCCCTTGATTCGCACCAAGATCCGCGCCGCGCGCACGCGCACCTGGCCCGTCGGATCGGCTTCGGCCAAGAAAGGCTTCGGAAACATGCATGGGCGCATGACACGGTGCAGAAAAAACATAGCATATCTCAAGTGAACATGGACTGAAACCCTTCATAGTGCGGGGGTGTTGATTGAACTCTATTTTCTCGTTGAATCCTGTTGAAGGAGCATTATCAACATGTTTGACTGGTTCTTCACTCTCCTTTGAGGTTCATGGTGGAGTTCATGGTCACTGTTGGGTCAATCGAACACCGGTGATGACCAAAAGGCAGCTTTCACACGCAGAGAGCCAAGCAAAGGCAAAACGGACCCTGAAAAACACCAATTAGTAATAGTATAGTAATGATATTAGTACTAGTACCACTGGAAAGTACTACCACCCTAGTTGGTAGGACTGGTTCTGAATCATAAAAGTGGTCATCATGATCGACATGATGGATTCGCTTGGATGGAATGTCTGGGACAGGGCGTTTCGTTTTCGCACGACCTGGTCGCATGGATCCTACGACCTGGTCGCCCCTAGGCTTCAGGCACCTGTTTGGAAGATTGCGTGAACCACCCGAACCACTAACAGGACCTGATCTTCACCCCTCGCCAAAACCCCCACCCTGACCCATCATTCCTCATGACAACTACACTGCACTGTCCACTCTGTTCACCACTACCATTAATCTAGACTGTAGACTCTTCATTGATCACCTCCTCCAGTTGGATTGAATTACACCACCATAGACCCCAAACAGGTGGGACAACAACGAAGCATTCCCAAGTCCACTTTTTGAGACATCAACAAGAAGGGACAAAAGGAAACAGAAGGGAGACAAAACGGACACAATGACAAACAAGAAGGAACAGAAGGAAGACAGAATTGAGACAAGGTGGACACAATGACCAACAGGGAGACAAGAAGGCCAGCAAGAAGCGCGACAAGACCGGAGACAAAGTGAGACAGAAGGGAGAAAAGGCGGACACAATGACCAACAAGAAGGCAGACAAGAAGAGAGACAAGAAGGGAGACAAAAGGAAACAGAAGGGAGACAAGACGGACACAGTGACCACCAAGAAGGGAGACAGACCGGAGACAAGACCGGAGACAAAGGGGGACAGAAGGGAGACAAGGCGGCCACAATGACCAACAAGAAGGGCGGCAAAAGGAAACAGAAGGGAGACAAGACGGACACAGTGACCAGACAAGACCGGAGACAAAGGGAGACAAGAAGGCAGACAAGGCGGAGACCATGACAAACAAGGAGGGAGACAAGAAGGGAGACAAAAGGAAGCAAAAGGGAGAGACAAGGCGGACACAGTGACCCACAAGAAGGGAGACAAGACTGGGGACAAAGGGAGACAAGAAGGAAGATAAGGCGGACACAGTGACGAACAATCTTGCCGCCACTCTCGTCCTCGCCAGGCGGCGGTGCCTCCTTCTCCTTCTGCTTTCCTCCCTTCTTGCCTGCACCTTTGCCTCCTTTCTCCTTGCCTCCTTTCTTCCCTTGTCTCCTTTGTCTCCTTGTTCTGCCACTTTCCTGCTCCTCTTCCCCCATAGTGTTGCCAGCCCCAAACTCCTGCACCCCTTCAACAGCCTGGCCAACAATGCATCGATGAATGTTCTGCGCCAACGAAACTGAATTGGAGAAGCCCATTGGGAGAACGCGGCTGCACAGGTAAAATTCCTCGCTACCTTGTGGGCACAACCCCTTGGGCACCGGCTTCCCGAAAGCTAGATATGGATGCCAAGTCTCCGGGACGCTGAAGATGTAGAAGAAGCATCTGACGTCCTCCGAGCTGACAAGCAATGTCTCCGATTCGCCCAGCTCGAACGGATGCATGGATGGCCACGCTGGCAATGTAGCCACATAACCCTGCAGCATAGGCCTGCAAATCCTGTTTAGGGGAATCAAGTTCATTATCAACCGATGCACTGGGACACCATTGCATTCCTCATCCTTCGGCACACCGAACAAACCATTGAAGAGCGGCTCACCTCGGATGTGATGAACGTCAGATCGTCAGCCTTTTCCCTTCCACTCGCTGCCATGGGCCTTTGCCAGCAGGCTTCCATGCCGTCTTGCCTGCAGCTGCAACTCTGGTGGGGTGATCTGCTCGTCCTGCGGGGTCAGAATCTCTAAGTGCCTGGATACTCCCCATCCTTCGCTCATTGCATTCTCGACTGCCATGAACCTCGCAGCAAGGGAGCCCAAGGCCGGCAACAACTGTCCTGCTTGCACCAGGTCTATGGCTCCAGCAAGTAGGAACAATTCTGAAGGGAGACAAGACGGACACAATGACCACCACGAAGGGAAACGAGAAGGGCGAAGAAGGAAACAAAAGACAGACCTGGGAGACACATGAATAGAAATGCTGCATGGCCGGCCGGCGGAACATGGCCAGGGGAAAAGGGCGGACACCACCTGAGAGACGAATGAATAGAAATGTTGCCAGAAAAGGGCCTGGGAGACAAATGAATAGAGTTTCTACATGTCCAGCAGAAAAGGGCGGACACCAGCAGCGACAGACCTGGGAGACATATGAATAGAAATGCTACATGGCCAGCGGAAGGGCGGACAGCAGTGACACAAAGGGCGGACACATCTTAAGAAAGAATTGAGAACCCCTAACAGTAAACTGTTTGGGGAAAAACCTCTTCATACGGGATGCGCACAAACGGATGTCTCTGCGGTTCCGTGACAACACTGACCCTTGGCCCCATGGGCCGGGCACACGTTGTCTGGTATCGACAAACTACTGAAACAAACTCGGGCTATACACTATACACAAAAAGGGAGCTTCTCCCGTGAGACCGAACAGCAACGACATGCTTTGGTAGTTGTGTGAACACTAATTCGCAATTACGATGTCCACCTGGCCATGGACTTAATTCATGGACCCGCGTCCGGATGCGGGATATCGTCGAGATTCTTGTTCCTAGTGATGGCATAACGAACATGCCTGATGAATGCAGCACTTTTCGAATGCGACACATTTGGTAAACCAGGCCACGGACGTTGAGGCAAATCGGTGGGGAGTTCTTGAAGAAGAATATCTGAGTGATATGGTGGTCTGCACGCAATGCCATAGGTGGCCTGGGGGATAAAGCCAAGAAGGAACCAGCTTTTTGAACCGGGTTTGGGATATGCGGGATATAGTGTGCCTTACCAAAGGTCAGGAGGTGCACGATCCATCTAAACGATTCGGACACAGCCCCCCACCAGCGTTCACGATTTGGTAGTAACTGAACTCTTGCATCAAGGAATTCCAAAGCCTGACCATCTTTATCTCCTTTTGGTTTAATTGGCAAGCGCCGACCTGACCACAATATATAAGACACAGCAAGTTCAAGCCAGGGAGTGCCAGGGTCTTGAGGATCATCATCTGCTTCTACATCTGGCGACCGGAGTTGTGCTAGGAAGTCCCGGACAAGCGCCGCATGACCGGGGCCCCAGGCGCAGCACCACAGCACCACTCTGTGTACAACAACTAGTGGTGCTGTGGTTGTATTTGCGGAACTCCATTTTGCCTGAGCTTCCGAGAAACCTCTTTCTTCTCTTCATTTTCAATGAGGATTTGTGTCTGTGCGAAATCGACTAAATATCGCCAGACCTGCATGAGCGATTCTTTTTGGTCGGGCAGAGTGCGTATGCGTATTTTGGCATAACTGTACGAATTAAGGAATGTCATCTTGTCGAGCGCGTCCCGCAGCCTGATCAGCGAGACTGTTGCCATATCGTCCATGGTTCGACTTCAGTTCAAGCGGCTGCAAGTTCCTGATGTGATTTGATTTTATGGATTCTGAAACGTGTGGCGTCCCAGAGTGTGAAAAGCTTGGATATAAGGTCGAAGTCGAAGTTTGATTGTTTGTGTGGGGCAGGGAGCCATGCTCCTGCGTGCACTGCTTGTACAATGCAATGAACGAATTGAGAATCAGTGTAAACATGTATAAGGTGAGGGGATCGCAAAGTGTGAGCAAATTGCGCTGCCTGCACCAACGCATATAGTTCTGCACGGTTGATAGTTTGAAGTCCGATCATACGTCCTAGGGCCACAACTTGATAGGTTTTAGTCTGTAATGGGCTGTCAATGCATTGTTCGCTGTGGTTCCTCGGAATCACTTTGCAAAATGACGGACCAAGCTGAGCGAGCTGCAATGGGGTCTGTGGGGTAATCACACGAACCGTCTGTATACAAAGTGGATTGTAGATATATAATGCTTTGAATGAGTCGGGCTTCTGCACGCCTTCTGGAAAACATAGCCTGTTTAATCAAAGAGGTATTAGGTGAACGCACGGGCAGTGGAAAGCAAATAAGGCGTCGTGCGTCCTGCAAAATCGAGACTGCCCGCGGGTGTCTCTGACGGACCTCGCTGTATTGACTACAGGTCAACAGGCCATGCTCTCGGTTGTCGTATTGGTCATAATGGGGACATATCGGGTCTTTGTGCTGCGCCCACTGTGCGATGGCAGTAAACGACTGCCATCCTGAAATAATGGACAAAGCAGTGAGACGCTTCTGGGCATCAATCAATGCACGGAGTGCTGCCAGGGCCACATGGGAGGCAAATGGCTGTGAATCTACTTCTTTTTTGTGGAAAACTTGCCTGTGAACATGCCAATCCCATGTCTGTCTAATCTGTTTACGAATATGCTTTGTACTATCTCTGTGACCAGGTTGAGGCGGAAGGTCTCGGGGCCGACTAGGATTGCATCTTCGGCGATGACCGAAGATATCTAGGTTAAATACGACGCCAATGCTGTGGCTGTGGCTGGTCCTGACACTTTATGATCAAACTCTCATGTATTAAATCATGCTCCACGCAATGCTCTGATAATAAGAAAAGAAGCGTCGGAGCGAGGTAATCATCTCAATGAGAACGTACAACAATGGATCATAGGTTGCTGGCGAAAGGTAGTGGAGTGCTACAACTGGATCCTTGCTTGTGGTCACCAATTAGTACAGTGGTAGCAGCTCTACGCAAACTCTGAAAGTGCTTATCACCAATCGTCTGTCCTAATGCGCCATAGAATGTGTGCGGCCATACGGCTACCTGTATCTTCTCCGCTTTGTCATCCAAATCCATATGCATCCGAAGGATTTTGTGGCATTTCTCAATTCCATAATAAATCTTTGCCTGAGGTACCAAGAACAGTAAGGTTGGTATAGTGCATCATATGTTTGATCACAAACTGTCCTGTGTGATGTGGCGTGGTTCCAGAAGTCTTGAAAATGTTTGGAATTTGCCCAGCACCAGGATTTACGCATATCTACGATCATACGTAAGTCATGTATGAAATTGAATATGGTTGCCATGGCGCAGAAGTGGCATGTGGTCATGAAAGACCAATTGTCGGCATAAGCGTATGGGCCATGGGCGTAACTTTGGGGAGGACAAATACCGGTAGAACACGTAGCTTAGAGACAACATGCCCACTACAGATAGCGCATCACCTTCTGGGAGTCCTGCCGTGGCCCGAACAGGTGGACCAATACAGGCGCCGTTTTGGAGGACCCTAGTCATCCTTGTCAGGCTTTTGAACCACAACTGGAAGCCCAAAAAGCAATGCCTAGAATACTAAAGGGATAACGTATCACTCTGCGTGGGATGAGGTTAAAGGCTTTTACGAGGTCCATGGTCCATCCCCCCCATGGAACTTTGTGGATATTGCCAATTTCGAGTTGGTGTTGTTGTAAGAGCGTAATATCCCGAGCTGATCTTCTGGGTAGTCCTCCCGAAATTTCAGGGGGCCATGTAGCGGCCCAGAATGCCAAGACCTGGTCGGCCACGAGTTTGGATGCTAAACGAGGGATATACCCTAGGATGGTTGTTGGTCGGCCGTCAGCGATGCTTTGTGGGTTTTCCACCTTGGCAAAAAAGCAATGTTCTTGCTCTCATTTGGTTTGCGGTTAAACCAAAGTGCAAAACTGCTCCGAAAATCTGCGCCAAGTCTTGGATCATGGTCCACGTTAGCTTTTGTAGTTCTTCTGCATGCCACTGTCACAGCCAGGGGCTTTATTGGTATTGAGTTTATGGATACTTGTCCATAGTTTAGCTGGATCATTTATTTGGATGGGTACGATTGTTTCATCTATGTCCTGGAAAAGCTGCGTCCATGGTCCATCCTGAGTTTGTTCATCTGCACTATCCCGCAACCAGACCTGTCCCCAGTATGTACTAAATTCTTCTGACATTTGGTCAATGGATGTAGCTTGCGTCACGAAAGTGAAGGTGCCCTGAGAGGGCCACCTCCCCTTGGTGTTTGTCCACTTGCGAGACAAGTCCTTCTGCATTGTCCGTCTTTACAAGCTGTCCTTGACACACGGGAATCGAGTCTAAAGGATGCATTTTTTGGTGTCCGTTTTGCTTGTCGTAGCATGAGGTATCTGCAGTTGGTCGTAATTGGAATATGATTTAGGAACTTTTGGTCACGGTCTTTGATAAATTATATTATACGCCTCGGCATTGTTGGTATGCTGTTTTCGAATTTTCAATGCGATGCTTGCGATGTTGCATTTTCAACCGATGTTCTTGTCTGACAAAATTATCTGCGTCCACGCACGTGATCTTAGAGGCCAATTGTGTCCATTCCAAATCTGGGCATGTCAGCGGGGCCGCATTAATGCATTCAAAGCCGAGGATCCAATGGACCCAGGAAACCGTACCCGTTGGGCTTTAGTAATGGCCTGCCAATCTGCAGCCAATTGAGATGCTTGTTCAGCTGTTCGTTCCTGGGGACTTGGTCTTTTCTTAAGTTGATTGAGAAATGTAGCAATCTTTTGTTTTGATTTGCATGATGTCGACTCTACAGTAGGGTTGTATCCGAGTGGCGGGTCAGGTTTAACCTGTTGTCGTAGTGTATTTTGGTTCAGTGCATCTACCAACATATTTCTTCGGCAATGCGTGTTCCAGGTATCGTAATGGATCTTCAAAATGTTGCTCATGGATGGTGGCTTGTACTGCTTGTTCAAACCCTAGTAATCCCTAGGGACCATGACCTGAATGCTTGATTTATCTCAATCTAGTGGTTGATTTTGTTGAAGAGGCTTTCTCACCCTACTGTAGCGTCGCTCAAGCTTCTCTGCATTAAGATGGTCGTCTCCCCAACTGCAATAGCTGCTGCAGGGTTCCAGCATCTGGCTCTGGATTGAATCGGTGAGTCAGGTTTGGATCCACTCCCACTGGGATGCCACCACCAACAGGCCACACGCGCCAAGCTAACCAATCTGCGTTGGCGCTGGACACATCTTCCGAGTAGATGTCGCCCTCCGGAGTGATGATCACCCACTCCGACCTGTCCACGCATGATAACAGGTAGCGGGTGTGCCAAACAGTGCCCCCGTTGTAGAAGACCAGAATGCGATCACCGGCCCTCAGGCCGCCAGGCAATGGCGGAACCAAGGGGCCGCCTGACATCCGAAGACAGCGGCTTGTTCACCGCTGCCTCTGAACCCCAGGTGCCCTGATTGCCAAATGATCGCCTACGCCACCACCAAATGCCCAGCCCTGTCACAACCAAAATCAGTCCAGATAGCACCAAGGTGAAGATACTGAACTCGATATGACCAGTAGTGCAATGAACGGGTGGACACAATGATCCGCAGGTAACAGCACAAGGGGGACACTCCAGCTTAGATGAGAACAATCCCAAAAAGTCACGTGCGAGGAGGCCTATGGCTACACCAACGAGATGGCGAACCCCCGATGGAGCTTCTGCCAGTGATCTTGAGCAGGTGTACACCACGGTGATCGGCTGTGCATACCAATCGTCATGAATTACGTTCAAATAGAACACACATGATGTATATTTACATTCACAATACTCAAAGTCTTAAAGGAAAATTTCTTTTTCTACCTCTTCATACGGGGGGTTACGGGGTTCTTGAACTCAATCAAGAGTCTACATGACCACTACCACTACAGTACAGCCATCACACCCATCACCTCCAGGTCCCACAGCGCCCCCAGGGACTCTCCGCAGCGCGGGCGGCTCTCGTGCCTCTTCGACGGAGACCTGGGCGTTGGGCGCCTCGTCGGCAGCAGCGCCGCCCACGCCCCCGCGGACCATGCCCTCGCAGGGCGCCTGGTCGGCGCCGGCGTGGACGTGGTGGCAGGTGGTTGGTGCCAGCTATGGATTGGTTGGGCCAGGGCGGCTAGGTCCGGCTAGGCTAGCTAGCGGCTAGCGGTTGGTCATCCAGGTTCTTCTTGTGCATGCGCACGTGGCCACACGTACCGCCGGCACCATTGCCTTGAGAATATCTTTGGCACCACTGCACCAGGCGGGGTCAATGTGTCAATGTATAATAGGTATACAGTATATTCCAGTCCCATGGAGGGTCTGGGGTAACAAAAACTCCTCATGCATTGGTGCTTTCTTGCGCCTGTCTTGGCTCTCGGGCTCAAAAATCCACCTTGCTCCTCTCGAGCACGTTTTGAAAAGATATCTCCTGGTCTTCTCCCCCCAAAAAGGTATGAATTACAACAACATCGTACTGGATGGAGCAGGACTCAAGTCTAGTGGCTAGGGTGCAATCTGTCCACGTTCCTGCCTTCACGAGGCGCTCCAAGGCGGGGATTAAGGGCTGCAGCTCGGGCAAGCGTGCCTCCTGAGAGGCTCGGACATTCGGACAGAAAACGCAAAGCAGCTGGGACCATTAGGGCCACCAACAGGAGGTTCTGAAGGCTCGGTCAGGTCCACTAGGGGCCATTGGAACGGTTTTTCACTGGCCATTTTGGAGAAATCCGATGCGGAGCCCATGGTCCACATGGTCCACACATGGTCGGATTCATGGAAAACCAGCAAATAGCTCACATGTCATGCATTTCACCTCATTGGATTCGCCAAGTTGCACCGGCGTTGCACGACCGGTGTGGCACGACCGGTGTGGCACGAACCTGTCGCTGGAAGAAGAGAACGACCACAGACAGATAAGAAACAGTTGTTGGAGGAGACTACGCATCTGGTATTTATTCCAGCTAGTTCCCAAACCCAGCTACCATGGTGACCCTTCCAGGACTGTGAAACTTTTAGGTAAAAACCACAATGTCACTGGGACCCACATGAAGTCCCTAGATATTTTCTCACTGCGAATCACTTGAAAACAATCCAACTTCGTCTCTAAAATCACTCCACACTATATATATGTACTTTGTTTTGGGGGGAGAACCGATATCATAAGAATATCCCTCCGGTGACGAACCTGTCTTCTTGACCTACACGTGGCTTTCACAGGTGTTCACCGATATCTACATCACCCAGCTGCTTCCCCTTCTGCGCTCGTCTGAAAACGCTGTAGCAGCTGGGTCAGACTGTCGGTGGCCTTGTTCCAATCCCTTCAGGGACGAAATGTTTCACTGCCGATAGTTCACTCTTTGATCTGGTTTTTCACCATCTGTTGAGAACCACCTGCTGTCCGCCAAGAATTTGCGGAGAATGTTAGTTGGTTGCCAAACTTGCACCATGAGGGATCCATGATTTTCCTTGGGGTTATAAGCTGTTCTTATAGTTCAAGCTTGGAGGCGCCCTCATATTAATCTGCAACGCGAATGAAGAGGCAACCGCAACAAGCCTCGCCTGCTACCGATTTGGGATCCCCATGTGACGTCCCAAAAGGCTTCTGGGTCAAAGGATCGCACTGGCCCCACGGAATATCCCCTCTTGTTCCCCCGTTCGCCGTGCCAAGCGCATCAAAGCGCCCAGTGGCCGGCCGTGCTTGTGCTCCGGCGACCAACTCTCGAAAGGTCACCTGCTCCGGTGCGTGTGGTGACACGTACGGTGGACGCCACACCATCAATGGGATTGGACCCAGGACACGACAAGTGGTCATGTGAAACACTATAGGGAGTCAACATAGCGGTTGATGGACACCAACTTTGACACCATCAATGGCATTTGCCTTTACTCCAGAATAGCATCACCCCGTTACTCAGGCACCTGTCCAGAAAATGGACCCTGGTCAAAAGGCACCTGTCAATGACCAGGGTCGATTTTCTGGGCGATGCGAGGTGCATGATGAAGCCAGTCCCGACCCTTGTGTGATGTATTAGATCATTCAATGAAAATGGCCATGGCGTCTGTTTCCATGCCAACAGGAGGAAATTCAAAGAAGAAATCACAGTCAATGACCCGCTTCGACGGTGACAACTGAACAGCTGGATACAGCTGCTTTAAACAGGAAGGGGGGTTGTCGGGCACATTTCTGCTAACTTATACATGATTTTCTTTTCTATGCCAAGCCATTCGAACCTGATTGAAGTTCTTTCGGTTTGACGATGTTCGGCCAAGTTGGTGGAATCTGTGCTTTCAAGGTCAAAGGAAGATCACAAGTAGAGTCCATGGGGAAAAGGAAACCGAAACCCAATGGAATATAATGAAAAGCCAAGGTCAGAACGCTGCACCGACATGCACCGAGAGGTTTTGGAGAGGACCGGTAGCGTGATGTAATCGTGAACGAGGGAGGTCCCTACGTTAGGGACCCGTTAGAACGACGGTCGACCCTACCTGTGAGATAAGCGTGAAATATAGCCGCTGAGCAGCAAACCAAAAAAATATGTTTCATTTTGTCACTGTGTTCTGACCTTGGTCTTTCCAAGACGCCAATGGCATGAACATGTTCAAATCTGCCAGTCGAAGATGCACTAGGAAAAAGTTCCTTAAACGCTTCAAGCTCTGGTTCTGCTTTTGTCGACCACATTGTTACTTTCACATCTCAACCAATCTGCAAAGCAGAGGTAAGAAGAATTTTGATGGCAAAGAACGGACAACACCAATTTTATTGTAACTGTAGAAAACAGGAGAATGTGAGAAATGACTAAAGTGCGAAAAATGTGTGGTACATGCACTAATGTCTTTGGGCTTCTTGGGTTTCGTACACACATCTTGAGCTCTAAGACCACAACGACCACAGTCACCAATTAACGATTGGTGTGCGTGAATGATGCGTTCGGCAACAGAGAGAGCTCTTGGCAACGTCACCTCTGCCAAAGTCCTTTCCCTTGTGAGAAAACTGTAGTGCGGTGAGGGTCCAAGCAGACCATTCGATAGTGGGGAGACATGTAAGGAGACAAGTGTGGAGGCAAGGATGAGAGGAGCGCGTACATTCCATCGACGAACCCAAACAACTTCAATCGAGCTCATGGATGTGTTACCAAGTCGCAACAAAAAACAATCCTTTATTCCTTTATTCCTAAATTCCACTCATAGCCCGCAATGCGGGACCACTAGGAGGCTCCCATGAGTGCCACTACCCCGCAAAGTCTCAGGGCCAGCATGGCTCCCTACTAAAGAATCAGGAAAAAAGGCCTCTCCACCAAGTCCTCGAAAAAGAACCTCCTTCACCTCAAGTTTCGAGGTCCCCTCAAGCTCGTCTTTCCCCCCCCGCTCCGCTCAGTCCGCAACGGACCGCACGCCGCACGGCTTCGGTGCCTTGCTGCCGCGCTTCGCCTGGCGGGAGGAGTGGGTCCGCGGGTCCGGAGCGGGTTCGGTCCGGAGGAGCCACCAAGGTCACCTGGAAGCACCAGGTCCAAGGTCCGGTGGAACCAGAGGATGTGAAGAACTTCCGGCACCCATGAGTTAGTGAAGAACTTCCGGAACTTGACGAACCTGAACTACCCCACCTGGAAGTCAGGATTCCATCCACCACTGCCAGTTCGGGGTAGAAATGCGTCATGACGGGACTCTCAGGGATAGACTCCTGCAAATGAAACATCCTGGAACTTCTCCTGAGCCTATGTTCCACTTTCATCTTCGTTTGAAATCATCATGTAATATCATGTAATTGGAGTGAGTGAAAACCACCTGTTTGGTATTCGATCGTCATCCTTTCAGGTCCCCGAACCGTACCACATATCCGATTTCGAGGAGTGTAGGAAGTCTCAACTCCAAGTCAGCTTCTCATATACCTGGAACCTTCCTGTTGGGGTGTCCAATTCAGATCCATAAGATTCAGCAACTAGTGCAGGGTCGTCCATTGGTGACCCCCTTGAAGGTGTTCTATCTTCTGGTGGATGGGGTCTCTTCACACCGAATATTCGAGAGAGACCTTCTCAAGTGCGGCCAGCGGGGGTCAATCTCCGAAAGTCATCCAAACTAACTACAGTGGATTGAGAGTAGATGGCACAAACCCCAAGATGTCTTTTATATAGGGGTCCATATAAACCACCTTTGAGGGAATGTGCCATCTACTCTCAACCCACCATACATCAGACAACGGTCACCGGTCACCGCCATAAAGGCCAACAGAAGCATCTGCGGGTGGTTCAAGAAATGGAGACATATCAGTGGAGGAGGCTTGGCTCAAGCAGCTGCCATGGGTGCGAAGCGACATCGGAACTGTGCAGCAGTGGAGGTGCGGGGTGCTGTCACAAAACAGCGTCAAACAATGGGTGACGCTCTTGAACGTTCATTGCATGATACTTGTGGCATCTTATATCTATACCCAAACACTCTATGTATGGCATATCTACACACATTGACCCCTTTTCAACCACCCCAATGTAGGTAAATGTGCCGGTCCCAATGGAGTGCCTGGGATAGATAGATATATTATATATATATATCTTCATGTTCAGATCCTCTAGAGTCGAACAATTGTAGCACCTTGCAGCGATGCTGCAGAGACGTGTCCCAAAAATAGGACCGACCTACACTTCGCAATTCAAGGTTTCTAAAGATTAACAGGTGACTTGACCATGAACAGCTGTTGCTCCAACCGATGTTTCCAGTAGCCTTGCACACCCTTGCGAAGAAGGGGGTCCAAAAGCAACAGCAACACCTGTCGTGACGCGTATTGAAGGGACATCAAATGACCAAATTCAGAAGCTGGGACTCAAACGAATGGGAAGCCGTTTCTATTTGGAATTGGAAGGTTTGGGGCAGTGAAGGGACACTTATGAAGTACATGATATAACTACATGATACATATAAACCAGCGGTCGATGGGTCCATGGCGGTCTGCGTTGGAGAGCCAACCACCTGGCCCTCGGCCTTCCAAGGCCCTGCAGCTTGACCGTGCAATGGGACACCCAACCACAACAAAGTCCTTTTTTTCAGACGACCAGGAACCAGGATCTGCCGTTTTCATCTGACAACCAGGAACCACATTACATCAGATAACCAGGATCTGCCGAACTTTCGAAACAGAAGGAACATCTTCACGACGTCCAGAGTTTGAAAGGCCTCTTTGTTTGCCTCCCTTCCCACCACGAGCCTTTCCTATCCAAAAAAAACAACCACCCCCGTGGCACCGTGTCACCCCCGCCGCCCCACCTGCACGTCGGGCTCTTGGCCCTCCTGCGAACGAACGACGAACGACCTCCTTCGCCACACGAGCCACGGACGGGTGGAGCATCGGCACTGGGTATAAACGCGCTTCCCAATTGAAAGCCACATCCTACGTGGGTGAGGATGAGGGGTAAGGATGAGTCGAAAGAGGTAAGGATGCACGACAATCAAAAGGTGTCCTCCAAGTGAAAAAACACAAACTACAGGGAACTTGGCACCCCCAAAGGCACGTTCCATGTCCAGCTCGCTCTCATTCGTGCGCTTCTTCCAAAACAAAACAGAAAACGCTCCTGAAAACAAAAAGTCCGCCGGCCTGCCGGCGTGTCTTGTGGATGTGCTTGTACTTGTACTTGTCTAATACTAAAGTATACTAAAGTTGTTCGTCGTTTAGATTGCTCCTCTGCGCGGATTTTTGGTTCGGCTAACTTGACAACTTGACCCCCCCTCCCCCCAACGCCCCCGCTTTGCACGTTGTTGTCTTCGTCGGCGCCTTTGTCGTCGTCGTTCTGCACGCGAGTTGCCTGCTTTTTGCCTGCGCATAACAGCATTTCGCCGTGGCTTTAAAAGCGTTTTGCCCACGGTTTGCACCAACCACCATGTACACCCAATACCATCATTTACACCAAGCCGCGGTTTACACCAACCACCGTTTACAGCTTACACCCAACAACGGCTTGCACCATCCATAGGTTGCAACACACCCGACTTTACACCAACCACAGTTCACATCAAGTCACGGTTTTTACCAATCACCGCGAGCTATAGGACAAGACCTTGCGTGTTTTTTCCTGCAGCTCTCCCACCTCACCCCTTCTGCTCGCGCACTGTCTATCATGCAGACCTCGACAGACCCTCTTGCCACCGACCCTTTTCCTCTACACCTATATCTAGACTTTTCCAAATCTTAGAATGAGTTTAGAGTGGCCAGCCCTTGCCGTTTCTTTGCTTTGTTGCTTCCCCTGCCTTCAGTCTAGCTCCCCTTCTCATTTTTTTGCTCACGACATGTTGCTCCTCTGCACACATGCGGCAGCATTCAGCCGTGGAGGCTGGCGGCACACGCCAACGGCGGTTAAATATAAGGTACATAATAAAATAAAAATAAAACTATGTGTCTTTCCGTGCGTGTTGAGCGGTGTATAATCCAAAACGGCTCCGAGGCGAGACCGGCCGTCGGTCTCCTTTTCTTCGCTCTGCAGCACGTAATGATCCAAGATCGCGACCACACAGGCCGTGACCTGACTTCTCGGGACGCGGAGCTCGGTTCGTTTGACCTAGAGACCGGGCCCACTGGGTGGAAAGGTCGAGAGGGAGGGGAGACCTGGAGGTGTGGACATGGAAAGAGTGCCTTTCTAGACCATGCACGGATGATTGCTCCAGAAAACGACCTGATTCAATTCACCTGGCTAGAAAGATCAGAAGATCCCCCTGACCGCAGCGGGCCCTCACACCCATGAAAACATGGAGGTTTTCACATACAAACACGATGTGTTTTTTGCGGAAAGCCAGGTCTTGGATGGTTTGTGAGGCCCCGAGTAAACAGCAATACTCCTGAAATTCTGAGGGCTTCACCGGAATGCCAAGGAACTGTCCACATAACCTTTAAGAAAGTTCCGAAATATGCACAGTACTGTACCTCACAACTGCAGATTTCAAGCACCTCAGACTCTAGTCTCCGCCCGCAGGGTATCAGGTGAGTGAAGGCTCCAATCTGGGAGCTTCACCAAGGCGTGACTGCCCTTTCTGCGTGTGTCCCAAAATGCCACAGGGTCTCAACACTCCAAGGGTCGCAGGGTCTCATCCTGGCATTGACAGGGGGGGTTCTTCATTCGGCACATGTCCAACCCTCAGGCGACCTTCGGTGGGGAACCAGAGCCACGAACGGTGTGAAACACGCGAAACGGTGACCACGAACAGTGCGGACCCACTCAGCCGGTGTCCTCTCAAGACCTCTCATACGACGCCCGGATCGGCGACGACGACGACGACGACGACGAC